GAAGTAGAAAAGCTACGCAAATGTTAAAGAGGCGAGGAACACATTTCTTTGCCTTAGTGCTTGACCTCAGCATTGCGACAACTTGAAGGCACTTTCAAGTTCCTCGCTAAGGCTCCTGGGCAAAGTCTTTCTGGAAGAGAGCTTGTTTAGTCAAGAAGAGGGAGCCCCAGCATCGCACCACAGCCACGGGTGCCAATCCTCTCTCCTTGTCGTCTGCCTCTCGCACGGGCAATTGCGAATTTCTCCAGCACCAAAGAGATGAATGGAAGGAGGCAGCGCTTCCCAAAGGCGCCAAAATGGCAGCTGGGCAACCATTGCAGCCATGGTAACAAATGGGGATCCGCCTCTGGCCACACAACGCGCACGGCCTCAGGTAGCGGCTCTGACCAGGACCCTGAACTGATCAAGGAAGTAGCTGCTGGGAAGACCTAGTTATTAGCACTACCGCAGCCTGCTGTAAAGAGGCTTTCCCCGGAAATCGGCTGCAAGTCAAGCAAGCGGCCGAGCAGGAGACTTCCCTCCCTCCCCAGACGCACCTTGAGTAAATCCAGAGGGTGCGTGCAGCACGCAGCCCCGCAAGAGTGGTACTTCGGGGGCAAGAGGCCACTGAAGTACCAGCGGGACACGTGTTTCTCCACCATCCTGCCGTTGATACGTGCGTTCGCTGATCCCTCCCCTCAGCCTTTGGGATCCGGCAGCTCAGCCTCCGCTCCACACCCGACCGAGAACCGAGGCGGCCTTAAACGTGCAATGCTGACAGCGACGGAGAAGGAATGCTTAAAAGAGCAAACGTGAGGCCAAAGGTGCGCAGCTGCAGTAGAGGCCAGATGTTTCCCGGGGTTATATTGGTTCCTGGCCGGGCTTCTCTTTCACGGAGGGAGTCACACTTCCGGGATTATTGTCATTAAAGTCTAAGAAGGCAACTCTGAATAACGTTTTGACCGAATCGCGAAACTCATTTTGCTCATGCACATTTGTAACACTGCCGCCTAAAACTATTTTGTGACGTTATTGGATATAGATTAAGCCGGTGTTGACTTTTAGTGATTGCATAGATTTCCCCCCCGCAAAAAAAGAACTACTGTATATTCCGGCGTATAAGACGACTGAGCCAGCTGGGTGACCTTGGACCAGTCACTCTCACTCAGCCCTAGGAAGCAGGCAATGGCAAAGCCCCTCCCGAATCCTTGCCAAGAAAAGTGCAGGGAGATTCGTCCAGGCAGTCACCAGGGGTCAACAATCTGAGACACCCCAAAAGTGGCTTGATACTGAGATGGGAGTCAGATCCAGTTTGGTCTAGTGGTTAAGGTTAGGAAGAGGAAGACTGTGAGTTCAAGTCCTGCCTTAGCCATGAAAGCCAATGGTGTGAGTTTGAGCCAGTCATTCTCAATCCAACCCACCTCAGGGTGGTTGTTGTGGGGAAAATTAGAGGAGGAAGATGTGTCGGATATGTTTGCCCCCTTGAGTTATTTTAAAAATAAAGGTGAATAATAAGGGGAATAAATCTTAACTCTGATACAGTGATTTTGAATGCTAACCGTGGCTCTCTGGAACATCTCAAAGCATCCGAGCAACTGAAGACTGACAAGCTGCTGCTGGCAAAGGAGCATGTGAGGAATCCAAGTGAACATACCTAATGAAGGCAGCCCTTGACTTGAAACCACAATTGAGCCCAAGTGAGACAGTTGTTAGGTGAGCTTTGCCCCCTTTTTAACTGTATCACGGGGGAAGAGAGAGAAGGGAAGGAAATGTTTTGGCGGGAAAGAGGAGGAGAGCAGGGGAGAGAGATAGAGAGGGGGAGAGATGGAATCGCTTTGGGGGCAAGCTGGAGGGAGAAGGGAAGCAGGGCCAAGCAGCTGATCTGGCCTCCATTGAGTGGGGGGGGGGATGAAAAGGAGGAGGTTTGGCAGGAAAGCGGAGGAGAACGGGGTAGAGAGGGAGAGGTGAATGTCTCTGGGGGCAGAGAAGGGAAGTGGGGCCTCCTGCTCATCTATTCTTCCCGCCACCAAGTGAGGGGGGCAAGTGATGCATGAGGATAGGTTGAGGAAAGGGGGAGAAAGGAGTGTGGGTGAAGGTAGAGAAAAGTCTGTGAGGAAAGGATGAGAAAAGAGGAGGAAGGGGAAAGAGGGAGAGAGGGAGGCAGGCCGGCAGGGCATTTCAATCAAGGAGCAGAGGCAGGAGAGAGAGGCCAACCAGCAGTCTGACCATCATCTTCGTGGCTGGTTAGAGGGGTGAAGGCACACCCAGAAAAGATTCCTTCCACTTTTTATACCCTTCCAGAACAAAGAGATTCAAATCTCTGTACCAGGAGTAAAGAAGCACAGGAAAACCAAGTCCAAGGTCATACACATCAATCCAGGCTAACTCACCTTCCCCCCTCCCTATTTCCTGGACCCCTGAATCTCACCTTGCTCCTTCCATGTAAGCAATCTCCTGTCTATTTAGCATGAGACATTTGCTTTTATGTAAATGATTTCCCAATATAAGGCACCTACAAAGCTGCTTGCACATAAACAAAATTATATATAAAATGATTAGAAAGTGTCACTACTAATATCAATATAAAGTGTTTACAAAATAACACTACTAATATCAAGCTTAAGCATAATAAAATCATAAGCATAATAAAATCCCTTCAGTTGGAAAAGAGGGCCAGGGAAACCAGATCCCAGTGACCCTTTCGGGGGTAGCGCTCCATGACAATCTTTCTGGTCACAGTTGTTAAGTTAGTCACACGGTTGGTAAGTGAATCGGGCTTCCCCATTGACTTTGTTTGTCAGAAGGTCACAAAAGGTGGTCACATGACCCCGGGATACTGCAACCATCATAAATTTGAACCAATTGCCAAGTGACTGAATTTTCATCTAATAATCAAGAGGGTGCTGCAATGGTCGTAAGTGTGAAAATCTGTCATAAGAC